ACACATCCTTGGGAGGGCCAGGGGGGGGGGAAGTATCCTCTTTCAGGACGTTCTACTTTAATCAATATGATTTTCATCCAGCTCATGTATCTTAGAAGAAAGGAACAGGGGGTGGGGCTGGGGATTCTCTGCTGTGGTTGGGAGAGAGGGGGCGCTTTGCAACAGGCTACCAATCCCTGCCCCCTGTGACCAACACTCCCTCTAAGCTGTGGAGTCCTGTGAGCGGAAATTCTACTTTGTGAGCCTCCTGGCATTAAAGTTGTGAGTGAGCGATTTGGCTACGGCATAAAGAAGTCTGCTCTGGAGCCATCTTTCCGGAGCCAAGACAAAAATGTGTGAGCCTGAAGCTAAAGAACTGTGAGCCAGCTCACACGAACTCGGCTTAGAGGGAACACTGCCCACGCCTGCTCTCAGGACGTGACAAGTTAGCAAAACTGCCGCTCTAGTTGGAACGTGCTTCTCCCTGTCTTTGTCACTCCTACTCCCACCAGATGCTGGGTTCTTTTAATTTTATTGGGTTTTTTGCACGTGTGCAGGATACATCTTTGATTGTTACAGCGCTGTTCACTTCGACTCAATCACAGAGCAGCCGAACTGAACCACTGAGGGGGGGAAACGGTACCTGGAGGAGAAAGAGGAGGGGGGGGAGAACCGGGCCAGGGGCAAAGAGCTGTACAAAAGTGGTGTTTGGGTTAACGGGGCCTGTAAAACACTGAAGGTGGGAGAGCCACGCTCCCCCCACGCCCCCCCCCCCAAGGAAAAGTGACTCCAGGGCTGAGGCCTAGTGGGTTTTCCTCTTCTTAGGGCCGAGGTGCCGCTTCCGTTGCTTGTAGAGATGGCGGAAGTTGACGAACGGCCCTGAAAGGAAACAAAAAAGGTTAAGCCGAACAGGCGCGTGTGCCCCAGCGACGTCCCTCAGACAGCTTTCTTTGCACACTGCCCTCCCATAAGGCTGACGGCCCACCAGTGTTAGGTGCAGGCGGTGGCGTTGCCTGCCGTGCAGGCAGCGTAGTGCAGTGGCCAGAGCATCGGAGTCGGATCTGGAAGAGCCAGTTGGCACCCCCACTCTGCCACAGAAGCTGGCTGGCTGACGTTGGGCCGGTCCCGTTTGCACAGCTTAAATCAACCTCAGAGGGTAGTCATGGAGAAGGCGATGTACTGCTTTGGGGTTCCCCCACTGGGGAGAAGATGGCGCCAAGAGTTTGATTTTCAATGGAATTTGGTAGAAGACGAAGAATCATAGAATCATAGATAGAACCCTAGAGTTGGGAGGGACCTCTGGGGTAATCTAGTCCAACCTGCTGCACAACGCAGGAAATTCACAACTACCCACACACACACAGTGTCCCCTGCTCCATGCCCAGAAGATGACAAAAAAAACCAGGCCTGGAGAAAAACTGCTTCCTGATCCACGAGTGGTGACCGGCATTTCCCTGGGTGTGTAAGAACGGGCCATGAGAACTGAGCACTGATGCAACCCTTCCCGCCCTCCCTCTTGTGATCTGTCAGATGGCCACCTAGCCTCTGTTTAAAAACCTCCAAAGCAGGAGAGCCCGCCGCCTCCAAAGGAAGCCTGTTCCACCGAGGAACTGCTCTAAGAGTCCTGAGCAGATTTTCGCTTTCTATCTCCTCAAGTAATGGGGTTCTGATTATTTGCGTCCTAACCGGCCGACTTTGTAGCCACCTTGTGTCCAAGGAGAAAAGGTGAGGTATAATTTATTAATATATACTATCCCAGCTTTCTCCCCTAAACAGCTGACATTCTTCTCTCCTCTTTTTTGCTCACAACCACCCTGTGAGGAAGGTCAGGTTTATCACAACCACCCTGTGAGGAAGGTCAGGTTAAGGGTGTGTGACTGGTCTGAGGTCACCCAGCGAGTTTCCAGGGCAGAGTGGGGATCTGAAACTGGCTCTGCTGGTTCCTGCTCCGACACGCTAACCCCCCCCCCACCACACTGGCAGGCCAGACACACGGGAGAGCAGGAGCCACGGGCACCCTACTTCTCTTCCTTGCAGCCAGTGAGGTTCTTAGGCAGAAAAGTCTATTTTGAACACCCGCTTTGTACGACTGGGAAGCCGCCGCCACCCACTGGCTCAAGAGCAATGCTCCCTCGAAGCTGTGGAGTCTTGTGAGCAAAAATTATCCTTTGTGAGCTACTGGCATCAAAGTTCTGAGCGAGCGATTTGGCTGCGGCATAAATTCGTTTGCTCCGGAGCCCTCCTTCCCGAGCTAAGACAAAGGTGTGAGCCGGAGGCTGAAAAACTGTGAGCCGGCTCACAGTAACTCAGCTTAGAGGGAACGCTGCTCAAGACTTGACCTGAGACTCACCTAGAAACAAGGCCACCAGATAGAGCTGCAGAACCAGCGAAAACGGAACGGTGAAGCCCAGGGGGGAGGGCAGCGTGAGGCCGAACCTCCCCGTGTTGCTGAAGACGGGAATGGCTTGAATCACGGTCACGGCTGGAAACAAGAGGAGGAGCGGATCAGGGCTCTGGCAGCAAAGAGCACACAGTCCAGGCCAGTAGCGACAGTGGGGGCTCTTGGGGCCCGCCCTTCCCGACTTACCCCCAAGCCCCCCCAACTTCCTATCCAGCCCAAGCCCCCCGAAAAAATCCTCATTTTTTTTTTGTGGTGTGTGGCTCCACCGCACCCTCACCCCACAGCCTCAACACTCAGCCCTGCCTTCCATTCCCACACCGCCGGATGGGGCGCAGGAAAGAAGTAAAGTGGTGGCAGCGGCGGGGTGGTCAATCCAGCACCCCCCCCCTCTCCTGGTTTTCATCCGTATTGTGAACTGCGGTGCGGCAGTGGCGATGGCCCCCGGTCCGCCTGCCCTGTGCCCCCCCAACTTAAAAAACCCTGATCTTAAAATTCCTGGCTACGCCCGTCACAGTCCCAAGCGGACCCATGCAAACGTCGCGCCGTCACGGCGGGAGCGTTGTGTATTGGGTTTAACGTTATGCTGGTTTATGATGTTGAATTTGCCTCTGGTATCCTAGTTCTCCCTTTTCTATTGGCTGCCTAATAAAGACCATCCATTGGCCCTGAAGCCGCCTAAGGTAACCAATTGCAGAACGCTGCTTAGGTCCAATCAGACCTGCTGTACATAGTTACATTCTATATCGTGTCACTGTTGAAATCGTATAAGTTTGAGTGCCGCTCTTAGCAGAGCTGTCCAGTCCAGTTCGGAGCTGAGCAATGCTTGAATAAACCTCCTTCCGTTTGACCGTCGTCTCCTGCCTCTTCTATACACAAAAGGGAGCACGCCGAGACCCCAACCCAGGGGGAGCAGGCACGGAAAAGCCCCGGCCCCGAATCTCGGTTTTTGGGAGCCGTCTTGGCTTTCCAGCCTGCAGGGGGAGGCCGCGTACCTTCTGCGAGGATCCCAAGAGGGTACAGGGGTATCCAGATGCTGTAGCGGATCCACGTCAGGACTTTCCACTCTATGTCAAGGCAGGAAAGCATATAGAAGGGGTACCTGGAGAGGGACACAATGAGCTGTCTTATATGGAATCAGACCCCCCCTTGGCCCAGCAAAGTAAGCACTGGCTACTCAGACTGACTCTCCAGGGTCTTTCAGAACATGAGAGGCCAGTGGCCCATCCAGACCAACACTCTGTGTCACACAGTGGCCAGAAATACCAGGTGCCATCAGGAGGTCCAGCAGTGGGGCCAGGACACTAGAAGCCCTCCCACTGTTGACCCCCCCCCCAAGCACCAAGAATACAGAGCATCCCTTGCCCCAGACCGAGAGTTCCTATAAGAACATAAGGGAAGCCAATATTGGATCAGGCCAATGGCCCCTCCAGTCCAACACTCTGTGTCACACAGTGGCCAGAAATACCAGGGGCCATCAGGAGATCCAGCAGTGGGGCCAGGCCCCTAGAAGCCCTCCCACTGTTGCCCCCCCCCCAAGCACCAAGAATACAGTGCATCCCTTG